TATATATATATATTTTTTTTTTTTTTTGTAGCATTTCATTTAGATAGAAGAAATTCACCACCCAATAGTTTGACACCATGTCTAAAGATTCGGAATATGTTTGATCCTGTTATGTAAGTATTTTAATCAAGGGTACATTTAATTTTTATTTAAAATATTTGGTTGAAAAAGTGTATGTTGGTCTTAAAATGCTGTGTCTATAATTGAAAACTTATTTTCCTTCTGAATCTTAACTACAGAATATGTTAAGTTTTTCTCATCCATTTTGTTAAATCACAAGCAAAGGTTTGGCTGTAAGACACAGATGTATAATGATTTATAAAACTTTTATTACTGGGACTCTTCATAACATTAATTCTTGAGAGAAATTTACATGTATTATTTCAGAAATTTCCTGTCTATATAGTTACAGCAACGCATGTCACCCAGAGAATAACCCAGTCAAATGTTAGTGCTTTAGCAGCCATCATGTTTTACATATAAGCTGTAATAACTTTTAGAATGAGCTTCCTAGAGGCCATTGCTTATCTGTCCAATGATAAGAAAGGTCAAATTCCATTTTTGTTGTTTCTTTTTTTAATCTTTGCAATAAAAATTGTGTTATATATAAAATATCATAACTCATTTATTTCAAGAAATAATGGATATAATGTATTCCAAATAAGTGACAGCAAAATTGAAAATGTTGGGAAGCTCTGTCAGTACAGATTCATGCATGCATGCTTGCTCACACACATATATACCCGTGCCATCCATGTTGCAGAGATAGAAGTAATTAGCACTCTGGTGATCCTCTTTTGGGAATACCTTTAGGGATTGGGAAACCAGTGCCAGTCCAGTATTGTATTGCCTAAGATAAAGATTGATAATTTAAAGTAAAGCCATCATTCTCCCTGCCTGCCATCATGTCTGATAAGTAAGACAAATATGCATTACTAATCAGGAAATCCTACACCTGTCATAATAGTAAAGTGACTATTGGTGCAAATGATTCTTTTGTATCACTTTTCCATTATTTTGATAAAGAAAAACTCAGAATATGCTATTTAGAATTTCCTTTAAATTTAGGGATTTGAGGATATCAATAAAAATAAACTATTAAAGTATCACAAGTTCACTACAACTCATTAAACTGCAGATACATAGGATTCTGAACATAAAAAATAGCACATCTCCTCTGCTGTGGTGGGCTAATCCATCATTACCTCAGCTGTCCATCATTCTTATGCTGCAAAGTGAGGAAAGAACTTAAACTAAATACTTTTTAATCCATCTACTGCTAATCAGGGAGCTCTGGTGCCATAGTGCCTAAGGCATTTGACTACTAACCAGGAGGCTGGAGGCTCAAACCCACCAGCCACTCCTCAGAACGAAGGTTGGGCAATGTACTTCCGTAGTGATACTACCTCAGAAACCCAAGGAGGGGTCGCTATGAATTGGATCCAACTCAGTGGCAATGGGTGGGGTTTATTTTAACTGCTAATCATTAAGCATGTTATTTGTTACTACTAATTTTAAATGTATGTAGGTTTTAAACTGTTTTGGTTCTAATAGAATGTATATGTTGTATGAAACAAAGTATTTTTTGAGTAGGGTTATGGTTGATGATTTTGTTTTTGTTAATTTTTAGGGAAATAGGGGATCACTGGCATTTGGCAATTCAAGAAGCAATTTTAGAAAAATGCAGTGATAATGATGGCATTGTTCATATTGCAGTAGACAAAAATTCACGTGAGGTAAAAGTAACTTTTAGTATTCAATTATACTTTTTGTGGGTTTTGCTATTAAACTAAGATGATTTCTTTTCTTTGTCACAGGGTTGTGTATATGTTAAATGTCTGTCTCCAGAATATGCTGGCAAGGCTTTTAAGGCGTTGCATGGCTCTTGGTTTGATGGTAAGAAATTTCAATCTTACAGACATTTTGAAAAGATAAATTAGAGCTTAATGTTAAACTATATCATATTTCAAATTTAAAAATTTTGGATTAGCATTTTTAGAGTGATTTTAGGTATTTCTGTTGTACTTTGTGTTCATGTGTCTTTTACTACAGTGTATTTTCTATGAATATTAAGCATATTTTTGAAGATCTAAAATGCTGTTTTTATCTTGCAACAGGGAAATTGGTTACAGTAAAATATTTACGACTAGATAGATACCATCATCGCTTTCCCCAAGCTCTTACTTGCAACACTCCCTTGAAGCCATCAAATAAGCATATGAACTCTATGTCTCATCTTCGTCTTCGGACTGGCCTAGTCAATTCTCAGGGAAGTTCCTGAAAAGACTTTCTACTACTCCTAGGACTGTTACTTAGAATACGAAAATTCCTATTTGGCTTCCCGTCTTCCTTTTTAAATGCTTTTTGTATGTAATATTTTTATTGAAGAATACAGCTCTATTTGAATGTTCCAGAAATCTTAAGGTTCCAAAGTGACTTAGCAGAGAGGCAGTAATGCTGAGTAGATAGAATAATTGTTTCATTCAGTTTTTGAAGCTCAGTTAAGCCAATGCAGTTAAGGTTTTGCATGAAGACCATTGACTTAATTAAAATTTTCAGTTGTGGTGGTTGTATTTTTGCACCAAGAAGTGTTTCAATAACCACATAAAAGCATGGTGAAGAGGCTTCTTGTGTTTCCATAATTTCCTATGAACTAACGTTGTGAGTTTTTGTATATAGTCACCTGCACAGTTCCTTACAGGCTTATGTGGTAAAATTTAACCTTAGGTTTCTATTGCTTGCAAGAGCTTCATTTGCTGCAACTGGAATATGGGAAAGTTAATTTGAGTTCAGTGGTTACATATAAGTGTAAGGGGATGTACATGTACTTAAACTGGCTTTTGTATATATGTATAAATGCTGGTGGTGGCAAAAGTAGTTTTGTTTTGTGAGGATGTCTGCATTAAAGCAGTAAAATAAGCTTCCTATTTTATTCATAATCTAACTTGTGTATATATGTGTGTGTGTGTGTGTGTATGTGTGTATATATATATGTGTGTGTATGTATGTGTGTGTATTTGTATATGTATATGTGTACACACACACACACACACACATATATATATACATACGGCTGTACTATAACAGATCAGACAGCCAAACACCTGGAAGTATTAGATACAAGTTTAAAATATCTTTTATAGGTTTTACATAAAAATGGCTGAGTATGATTTTGTGTGAAAGTTCCAATACTAGTTGTAATGGATTCAAATTTATGTGAGCAATAAAGAAGCAATTGGCAGATATTGGAAAAATATTTTGTGAAAAGCTGTATTTATTATAAATACTAGGGTTGTGACATAGTATCATTGGGATTAAGTCATTTTCCCAATCTATTTATAATTTAATGAAATGTTAGCACCCCTGTTATATGTCAAGTTTAAAACAGGGTACATTGTTGCAGCAAGATATGTATTTGACAAATTATATTTGCAGTTTTGGGTCATGAAAGTTTGCAATATAGTAAATGCACGAATGACCATTGGCTTTGTGCCTCAGTATTTAATTTTTTTCAGTAAAGTTACTTTATTACTGTTTATGATTTCAGATTAAAATAGTTGCCGAGCAAAGTTTACTTGTAATCTAACAATTGGCTTTTTTTTTTTAAATAACCTGTTGATATATCATTGTCAGTCCAACTGAGTATGTGTAACAGCTGAAATTGTACCAATTCTGATTTTGGTTAAAGCTCAGTTTCCCTTTGTGTGTGTGTGTGTGTGTGTGTGTGTGTTGGGTTTGTAGCATGAACTTGCACAGATAATGCACGTTTTTCTGGTTAAGTAAACATGATGCACACTATTCTGTAACAGAAAACCCTATTGTGCCTTACCTGTGTGCTTTTGTGGGCACCATGTTTATGAAGAATAAAAAATGATTTGTTATCTGAAGAGAATAAATTTTAAATTCTCAGTTTATGTCTCAGATGCTAAAGTGTGAAAATATAAATATATATAATATATAAAGTAACCAATCTTTCTGTATTTTATGTGCATCATAGTGAATTTATCTGAGCTTAGTGACCCCATCTTGTGACCTTTTGCAAGAGTGAATGTAAAAAATAGCTGTGGCATTTTAAAAGGTCACCTTCAAATGCAGCTGCATCTTTTTCTTGCTTCTAAATATATTTCCTGTAAACATTGTACATTTATTATTGTAATAAATATGATAATGCAGCTTATTTTACCTGGAACTGTTAAGCTGACCAAGATCCCTCCCTGCAAGACAGGTGGGAATGTGTAAAATAACTAGATATTTGAGAAGTTCTGAAGTTTGATGTAATCTGTTACTTGTCCTGTTAAAAAAAAATGAAAAAATTCTAATTAAAAATTTATTAGGTTTTTTTTTTTTTAAATGCGTCTTGGTTTATTCAAAAACTTTTAAGTGCTTTGTGTCTTTGTTTTTTACTGGTGAAAATAGGTGCCTTTATTTTAAATACCTACTGCATTTGGGGATCTGTAAGTAAATGTGTGCTTATAAAGATGGATGAGGACCTTAAAGCTAATTTGAACCATCCATTCCTCAACTTCTTACTTATCTTTATGAAAATGCCTTCGTCCAACTCTCAAGTATTAGGATTACTGTTACTGAAATTGGGGCAAGAAAGTAAATCAGCTGTATCACTAAACACCATTTAGTCCTGGTGGACATTTTATTCATAGCAACACTTTCTCAAAGAAGGAAGCATTTCTTTTATATTCTGACTTAAACTTCTTTTCTCATCATGAACCAGTAACAATCATTTCATGGCCTGGCTACTCTGAGTCCCACTGGTTTAGATCTTTTGAGTCAAAAGATTTAACTTACTTAGCCACAGATGCCAGGCACTGCATTTGTTAGGAATGCAAAGAAGAAAAAGGCATGGCCCAGGCCTCAAATGATGACAGTCTAGAACAGGAACACAGAGCAAATAAATGGAAAAAATAGTGTGACAGATACAGTAAGAGAAAAATATGCACAGGGTGTTCTGAGAGTTCAGAGAGGCACCTGATGCACCTTAATAGAAGAAGACACTAGGGCAGACTTGTAGATGAGTTAACAGTAGAGCCACATTTTTATTCAGTTTAACATTTATTCTTAGCTGCCTATTAATAGAGATACAAGGATAAAAATTGCTTTTCCCTAGAGCCTTCAGGGGAGTATCCATTCTTTGAAAAGCTTATGAAAACCAGTGTGTGGAACCTGTGTTACTCTAAAACTGATTTTCATTCTCATTGGTACGTAGTTTTCATGAATATTTCATAAATGTTGAAACCTGATTTTAGACTTTAATATATTTTCCTTGTATGATATACGCTGGATGAAATTGTGATTTCTAACTAAACGATGTTTTGAAATGTTAAGTATTCATAATACTTCCTTTAATAAGGTTTACCCTGTAGTTCTCATTCCCTGATCCTAGTAATATCACACTAGGCCTCTTCACCCTTTTTTCCTAGACTTATCTCTACAAGTTACTTCTTATATATGACTCGATAGAGGATGCTAAATCAACCAGAATTTTGCCAGCTGCTCTTTTGGAAAGGATGCTCAAGAACAGGTACTTAGAATTGAAAATATTTAAGAAGCAGGAGTTATGGTTTAAAGTACAGGATGTTTATTCTCTTGGCACAGATAGCATGACTACTACCTTTACGCCCTAGTGGGAAAACTTTATGGCTACAAATACATCTTGATGATAGGTGTCTACCTTTAAGAAACTCTAATGTAGACAGCAGGATACACTCACTTTGTTGGTTCATGGATTTTTACAAAAACCAATAGAACCTGTGCACTTAGGAGATTTAATTCTTGTTCTTCTGATAAACTCACTGCCATTGAGTTGGATCCGACTCATAGTGACCCCTACTTGGGTTTCCGAGGCAGTATCACTACTGAAGTAGATTGCCCAATTTTCCTTCCGAGGAGTGCTAGTCGGTTTGAACTGCCAGCCTTCTGGTTAGCAGTCAAATTTAGGCACTATGCCACCAGAGCTCCTGTTCTACTGATGAGCATTGAAAATCTGTATGTGCTCTTGAAATTCGAAAGATGGCAGTGTAGGCATATAGCGTACATGAACAAAGACTGATGAGATACAACTCAGTGCATGTGTGAACTACAAACTGTTATGGCTGAATCACTGATGATAAGGCAATAAATATAGACAGTAAAGTAGGCAGTGGTCAGTTCATGGAAGACTAGTATGAAGTTAAGGTGGCTGTTAAAGAGAGTTTAGGTGAGAAATGGATGATGAAAATTTGTTAGGATGAAGAGCAGGGAAAGGATTTGAAGAATTGGAAATAAAGTGAGGGACTTGACAGTTATCTGATATTGAAAGAGAAGTTGATGTCTAATTTTGTAGTATAGTAAATTGAGCCCCAACATTTAAAGAATAGGTGGTATCTTAGTTACCTAGTTCTGTATAAAAATACCATAAATAGGTGACTTTAAAAGAAAAAAATTCTCACAATTCTGGAGGCTAGAAGTCGAAATTGAGGTGTGATTCTAGGGGAGAGGTTCTTTGTCTATTTCAGCTTCTAGTAGCTGGCAATCTCTGGGAGTTTCTAGGTTTGAAGATTCATCTTCCTTATTGACAAATAGCACCTGCCTTCCCCTTAGGTGGGCTTGCCTCTTTATAGATCAGAAAGTGATTAGGTTTGGACATACCCTACTCTGATATGGCTCATTAACATAATGCAGAAAACCTTATTCCCAAACAGGATTTCTAGGATGCCAGCATGTATTTTAGAGGGCCACAATTCAATCTGTACCAATTTCTTTATTCTGCTCTTATTTGTAGTGTTGACTTTAAAATTTTAACTTTTTTTTTTTTATTTGGGTGAAGATTTACAGAGCAAATTCACTTTCCATACAGCAGTTCACATATACTTTGTCTCTGTCATTGACCACAGTTTACCACAATGCAACAGCTCCCCTCCCACTTCCTCCCCATAGTTAACTCTTCCCAGTGACCATCCCTCCATACTCTGCTGGCCCCTGAGCTGTCTCCCTGTGCATAAGCAGCCCTTCCTTCTCCCATGATTGTTCTCTCCAGGGCATGTGTCTACTTGAGGTAAATGTTTACCTCATAT